AATAACGGGAATAACCACGGGATAAACAACGGGAATAACGGGATAAACAACGGGAATAATGGGATAAACAATGGGATAAATGGCAGTACACCTGGGGGGGAATAACGGGAATAACCACGAGATAAACAACAGGAATAACGGGATAAACAACGGGAATAACGGGATAAACAACGGGAATAACCACGGGATAAACAACAGGAATAACGGGATAAACAATGGGATAAACGGCAGTACACCTGGGGGAAATAACGGGAATAACCACGGGATAAACAACGGGAATAACGGGATAAACAACGGGAATAATGGGATAAACAATGGGATAAACGGCAGTACACCTGGGGGGGAAAAACAATGGGAATAACCATGGGAATGACGGGAATAACAACAGGATAAACAACAGAAAAATAACAGGATAAACAACGGGAATAACCACGGGATAAGCAACGGGAATAACAATGGGAATAACAACGAGAATAACCACGGGAATGATGGGATAAATGGGAGTACACCTGGGGGGAAAAACAACGAGAATAACAATGGTAATAACAACAGGAAAATAACGGGATAAACAACAGGAGTACACCTGGGGAAAACAACGGGAATAACGGAAAAACAACGGGATAAACAATGGGAGTACACCTGGGAAAAAACAATGGGAATAATGGGAAAACAACAGGATAACAATGGGAGTACACCTAGGGAAAAGCAACAGGAATAACAATGGGAATGACAGGGAAACAATGGGATAAACCAGGAATAACAATGGGAATGACAGGGAAACAATGGGATAAACAATGGGAAAATAATGGGATAAATGGGAAAACAATGGGAATACACCTGGGGAAAAACAACGGGAATAATGGGAATGATGGGATAAACGGGAAAACAACGGGAGTACACCTGGGAAGAACAACGGGAATGGGAATAGGATAAATAGGAGTACACCTGGGAAAAATGGGAATGGGACAGGGAGTACACCTGGGAAATCGAGTAGGAAAAATGGGAGTACACCTGGGAAAAAACAATGGGAATGGGACAGGCAGTACACCTGGAAAACCAGGAATGGGAGCGTAAAAAGTGGGAATGGGACAGGGAGTACACGTGGGAGCAGGAAAAACAACCGGGAATGGGAGCGGGAATGAGCCCGGAGTACATCTGGGAACGGGAAAAAATCCGGGAATAGGACAGGGAAAAACCGTGAAATGGGACAGGGAATGAGCCCGGGAATACACCTGGGAGGGGGGGAAAACCGGGAATGGGACAGGGAATGAGCCTGGAGCAGGGAAAAACCGGGAATAAGCGCGGCAGTACACGTGGAATGAGGGAAACAGAGAATGATCCCGGCAGTAAAAGCGGGAATGCTGGAGGTGGGAATCGGGGGAATTGGGGATGGATTCCTCACCCCCACCGGGTCCCTCAGAGCGGGGTTCGTGCCCTTCCTCGGCCTCCGCGGCGTCCTGGCCCTGCTGAGGGGAGAGAGCCGTGAGGGGACACGGGAAAACTGGGAATGGGGACAGGGGAAAACTGGGAATGGGGAAAACTGGGAATGGGGACACGGGAAAACTGAGAATGGGGAAACGGGAAAGGTGGGAATGGGGACACGGGAAAGGTGGGAACGGGGAAATGGGAAAGGCCGGGAAGCAGCGGCGAGAAGCGGGAGAGGAGAAAGGGGAACGGGGAAAGAGCCGAGGGGAGAACGGGAGGAGCGGGGGCAGCACGGGGATGGGGAGAATCGGGAAGCGAAGGGGAGCCAGCCCGGNTGCCGCCCCCGGGGGCTGTGGGGTCACTCACGCCGCCTTCATGTCGCGGGTGCCGCCGGCTCTGTCGCGACAGGGCCTGGGGTGGGTCGCGCTCCGGAGCCGGCACCGAGCGGTCGCCGCGCGCCAGCCGCGATTCAAATCCGACCAATCGGAGCGCGCGCCGCCGATGACGTCATCACGCACGGCGTCGCCGTGGCGACGCGAAGAGGCGCGGCGAGGGGCGAGGGCGCCCCCTGCTGGTAGAGGTGGTGGAAGGGGCGGGGCCGCGGGTTCGAATCCCGGCCCCGGCAGATCCCGGTTTTTCTCCAGGGGCTTTTCCCTTTGGATTCCAATCTTTCAGGAGAGGAGGTGGAATGCAGAACGTTGGCAGGGCCAGGGATTCCCCGCGTGCCTGCCGAGAGGTGAATCAGTCACTTAATTCCCAAGCCGATGGAAAGGAGTGAATTCCCAACCCGCAGGAAATGGAGAGTGGGAGATTCCAGACGGCCTTTCCCCATCCCAATCCCGGCATCCAGGGGCAGTTTTTCCAGGAATTCCCAGCCGGGAATTCCTTCTGAAATCCACGGAAATCTCCCCTTTCCCGACCATTCCCTCTCCAGCTCTCCCCGGATTCCCGGGAGAGCTTCAGGGATTCCCTGGAGCTGCATTTTCCCATTCCCAGCATCGGGATCATTCCCTTAAATCCCTCACTTCACCCATCCCAAAAAACTCCTGAGCAGCTGGATTCCAGCGGGAATGAAATTCCCAGCAGGAATGAAATTCCCACCAGGAATCCACCACTCCTCCCTCATGCCCAAATTCATGGGAAAAATCCCCATTTTCCCACTTTTCCACAAGAAAACCTCGAAGCCGCCACAGGAATGACGGATTAAAAAAAACAAACCTTGGAATCCCTTTGGAAAACAAAACTCCCAGAAAATTCCCAAAATAAATAACGGAGCCATACCCAGGAATTTTTCTTTTTTTTTTTCCTTAAGATAAAAAAATTTATTTCCCAGTCTTAGAAAGCTTCCCGAGCATTCCCGGTGTCCCGTAGAAACGGAGGAGAACCTCTTCCCGCCAAAAAGAAAAAAATATTCCGGAGGGGCGGAATTACAAAACGAATCCCGAGCACTTTGTGCTTCCAGAGCTTCCCGGAGGAGCGGCCGGCCCGGAGCAGCCGGGAAAACCATTATTGCATATTTTCCATGGGGAAAATCCCGGGAAATCCAACGAAATCCCAGCCAAGCCACGCCTGGGGAGGAGAACGGGAATGAGAGGATTCCGGGGAATGAGAGGATTGCAGGGAATTCTGGATTCCAGGGAAAGTCTGGATTCCAGAGAACACCAGTTTCCAGGGAATAAGCAGATTCCAGGCAGTGCTGGATTCCAGGGAATTCCAGATCTCAGGGAGTTCGGATCCCAGGGAATGTCTGGATTCCAGGGAATTCCAGATCCCAGGGAATGCCTGGATTCCCATGAAGGCTGAATTGCAGGGAATGCTGGATTCCAGGGAACGCCAGATCCCAGGGAATTCTGTCTCCCAGAGAATTCCGGATCCCAGGGAATGTCTGGATCCCAGGGAATTCCGGATCCCAGGGAATTCCGGATCCCCGGGAGGGTTGTGCTTGTGCTGTTGGGGCGGGGGAGCCCCGGCGAGGGGATCCCGTGGGAAGAGCCAACGGAAAATCCGGGATCAAAGCCGACCTTGGTCCCAAAGATCTCCGGGAATGAACAAAGAGATCCCAAACTGGAAGGAATTCCATGAAGTTTTGAGGAATTTTTGGATTCCGTGAGGTTTGGAGGCTCCGCGGCCAAGGATCCTCTTCCGACGCACGAGGGAACGGAAGGAATGTCGGGAATTCCCGGCGGATTCCCCACGGAATCGCAGCCTCTGGGGATTCCCGGGAGCTCCTCCGGGAAGAGACGGAAGAACAACCTTGGAACGCCCATCCCAAACTTCTGGAGTGGGAAAATCGGCACCAATTCCCAAAAAATCCCGCCCGAGAGGAATTCCGGCCTCCGAAAGGCACCAAAGGCACCCCGGAGCCTCTCCTGGTTTTCCAAGCGGGAAAACGACAGAAGGAACAGGCAGGGGGAGGATGGAAGGGGATATTTTGGGAAGGACGGAAAAGTCGCTCCAGGACGGGCGGGAAATGAAGGAAAAGCCTCCAAAAATGAAAGCGATGGGAAGATGGAGACGGGCGTTGTCCCAAATCCCGGGATTTTGGGATCGGGATGAGCTCCGCCGTGGGATGGGAACGCTGGGGATTCCCAAATCCCGGGATCAGGCAGCAGGGGGATCATGGAATGTTTGGGGGAGGGACCTTAAAGCTCATCCCATTCCATAGGGAGCTCCTGCTGCTCCACGTCCCAGGGATCCAGAGGCGGCTTCTCCGGGAATTCCAGCCCAGGGAGAGCTGGAAAAGCCTCTGGGATGGAGCTGGGAAAACGCGGGATGGGCTGGAGCAGGAGAAAAATGGCGATTCCCGAATTCCCAAATTTCCTGAGGGACTCCAGGTCCCACTTGAGCCATTCCCAAAAACGTCCCCAGAGCTCTGAGGAATCTCCAGATGGAATTCCAAAATCCCATAGAAAACACGGAGATCCAGGATACGGGATCCCATTCCCAGGGAATTCCAGTGACTGGGATACGGGATCCCAGTTCCCAGGGAATTCCAGTGACTGGGATATGGGATCCCATTCCCAGGGAATTCCAGTGACTGGGATACAGGATCCCAGTTCCCAGGGAATTCCAGTGACCAGGACACGGATCCCAGCGCTGTGTGCTCCAGGCTCCCAGTTGTGCTTCCATGACGCCGGCCATGCGTTTTCCATGAAAAATCCCTCCAGCAGCTCCAGGATCTCCAGAATTCCAAGCGCGGATCTCTCATCCCGAAAAGGCCAATCCCGAGGAACAGCCCCCCCGGCTCCGAGCGCTTCCCACGGGAGTTGCTCCCACACGGAGCAAATCCCAAATCCCGCCGGGAGAGGCCCCGGATGAGCTCTCTGGGCCGCAATTCCAAGGTTTCTGTGGCTCCTGCAAAACCTTTTCCTTGGAAAAGGCAAAACCAATCCCAATAAATCCCTGCCCGGAGCTCCGGGTGGGAGCGTCCCGATCCCAAAGCTTCCCGCGCCGGGAATGGGAGCGGCGATTTTCCTGGAGCACTTCCAGCACCTGCCGTTTTTTGGGAACGCTCCGTGCCTGGCTGTGATTCCATGATTTCCCCAGAGCAGTTTTAAATCCCACTTTTTCTGGGAATGCTCCATGCTGAGCCGCGATTCCACGATTTCCCCGGAGCACTTTCAAATCCCGGTTTTTCCTTTATTTTGGGAACTGTCATGACTTCCCTGCAGCAGTTCCAAATCCCAGTTTTCCTTGGTTTTGGGAACTCTCCGTGCCAGGCTGTGATTTCCCCAGAGCACTTTCAAATCCCGGTTTTTCCTTTATTTTGGGAACTCTCTGTCGTGACTTCCCTGCAGCAGTTCCAAATCCCAGTTTTTCTATTTATTTTGGGAACGCTCTGTGCCGGACCGTAACTTCCCCGGAGCAATTTCAAATCCCGGTTTCTCCTTGTTTTTGGGAATTGTCTGTCACCACTTCCCTGCAGCAGTTTCAAATCCCATTCTTCCTTGTTTTTGGGAATGCTCTGTGCCGGGCTGTGACTTCCCTGAAGAAATCCCAAATCCTGTTTTCCCTTGTTTTTGGGACCTCTCTGCCATGACTTCCCTGGAGCAATCCCAAATCCCAGTTTCTCCTTGTTTTTGGGACCTCTCCATGCCAGGTCACAACTTCCCTGCAGCAGTTCCAAATTCCATTTTTTCCTTGTTTTTGGGAACACTCCCTGCCAGGCTGTGACTTCCCCGGAGCAATCCCAAAATCCCATTTTTTCCTTGTTTTTGGGATCTCTCTGTCACCGCTCCCCCACAGCAATCCCAAATCCCATTTTTCCTAGTTTTTGCGACCTCTCTGCCCTGACTCCCCCGCAGCAATCCCAAAATCCCATTTTTCCTTTATTTTGGGACCCGCGCGTCACCGCTCCCCCTCAACGTTCCCGCTCCCCGCCGTCCCTCGGCCCCGCTCTCCTCTCCGTCCCCGGCTCTCAGTTGTGCTTGGCTCTGCCCCCTCTCAGGTAACTCTTCCACCTCTTGACGAACTCCCTGAAGACGGGCGCGTCGTCCACGGAGGCGAGCAGCTGCAGCTGGTTGATGTGGGTGGTGTGGTAATCCCAGCGCGCCAGGTTGGGCGCCGTGCCCAGCGTGAAGTGCCGCAGGTCGTAGACGCTGCCGGAGCCGGTGTCGAAGAGCGGCAGCATGGCCTTCAGCGACTCCATGCCGCGCTCGTAGAGCAGCCGCGCCTCGCGGCCCCGCTCCTCGCCCGCCATCTCCTTCAGGTCGTAGAGGCCGATCAGGGCGTACATGAAGCCGTTGAGCACGAAGGAGCTGGGCGTGGTGGGGTACTCCTCGTACCAGTCGTGCCGCTCCATGAACACCGCCTTGACGCCGCGCCGCTCCGCCGGCAGCTTGAAGGGCGCGGTGGCGCGCAGCGCGGCGCTCAGGAAGGCCGGCTCCCCGGTCAGCCGGTACGCCCTGACCAGCGTGGACATGGCCTGGCCCTGCGCCATGGCCGAGTACCAGCCCGGCTCCAGGGATTTGAAACCTTCTCCCAACT